AAACCCTAAATCGAACATAGAAAACAGCTGTTGCTTTGAACCACGAAAAGAGGGGCTTGATCCCAGGACCCTGGGATCACGACCTGAGCCGAAGGCAGATGCTTAACGACCGAGCCACCCAGGTGCCCCAAACACAAATCCATTTTAAGAAAAGTGTTCCAGACACCAACTATGACACAATGAATCAGCATTGCCTGGGACATTGTTCGTTATTTTTAAGTGAATTTTTTTTTAAAGATTTTTATTTACTTCAGAGAGAGAGAGAACACAAGCTAGGGAGACAGGCAGAGGGAGAGGGAGAAGCAGACTCCCCGCTGAGCAGGGAGCCGGATGAGGCTCGATCCCAGGACCCTGGGATCAGCACCTGAGCCAAAGGCAGACACTTCAACAACTGAGCCGCCCAGGCGTCCCCCATTGAAACATTCTGATACAGTACAGCCTCAGAGGATACCAAGTGCCAAAATAAAAACACTGTTTCCTCATAATTTGCAGAAAAATTATATATATATACATATATACACACAAGCAGATGATTAATGATGCAATGATGAGCACGAGTGTTCATTCCCATAATACTCCTATCACTCTGTAGCTTTCATGCTAAGGAGATTATAAATATCATAGAATTAGTGTAGAGCATTAAGATAAACAGAGTCTTAGGGAAAATGGAAGGAAAAACAACACAGATATGCTATTTTACTCTCTTAGTATCGGCATTAATGTCTTCTCTAACATGGTGTAACATTATTTGGCTCCTGGGTAGTTGTTTTTTTAGTTAATACTATATTTATCAGGACTTCAGTTTCTTCCCACCTGATTAGCAGCACCCACCTCACTGGAATCTAGGAAGGAGCTAATGTATACTGAAACCAAATTTGATGCCTAGAAAATCCTTGAGTTGTTAAGAGGCACACCTGTGTTGTTTGGCAGGTGAGTTGAATCTCAAGAATTTCTGCAAATCTCCCGTTCAGTCGGCTAAGCTGGTTTCACTCCTATTGAACAACCCTGGGGGGGGGGGTCCTCTATTTTTTCTTAATAACCATAATAATGCCAAAGAAATAACTTCCAATGCCAATCTCAGTGGTTTGGGTCTCAAAAGTGGAAAGGTTCAGAATATATTTCAGGACGTTAGCTGTCTCCATGTCAGATTTATTAATTTATAGATAAATTAGCATTTTCATTTTGGAAAAAATCTACAGTTTTTTTGTAAAGACCAGATTATTGTTAATTAAGATGTTACTCTGAATAGTTTGGAGAAGTAACTTTCTAACTGTATTCACCTTATATTCAAATTAAGGGTAGATTGTCACAAACAATTAAATAAAAATTTCAGTGAACTGAATCCTAAAGAAAATAAGGAAACATTTATCAGTGGAAAGGTACTCTGTAAATGGGTTTGCAGATTAACTGCAAAGGTTATTTGGGACTCTATAATCTTAAAGTGAAACAGGCCATTTATTTAGAGATTTAAAAAAATCTCTATTCAGCCTGTTTTCATTTTTTAGATATTCTTATGTTGAATTACGTTGTTGTCTGTACTATACTCCGGTTTCTTCTGACTAAACAGGTTTTGAAATGCTTACGACAGAAGACATTTTAAAATAAATGCTTGACTCATCACATAATATTCTTTAGGGACTAAAGGAAGTTAACATTTTCATCTTTTGGTCAGGCATTTGTGGGCTCTAAAACAGAACTTTTTGGCAATTATGCCGTAGGTGCCAGGGAAGAAAAAGAAAAGAGTTTAGGTTGTCCAACCTCATACAACGGACAAAGGATAAAAGTAAAAGAAATGAATCAAATCCACAGGCGTGACGACCCTAGTCTGTTTCAGTGAGCAAAGGAGCTAATAGTGCTGTCATCCAGGTCTTAATTTATGGATCCCTTAAGGTATTTTCAACCCCTTTGAAGTTGAAATTGTGGGCTATAGTCTCTACAGTAAAAGAATATTTCTTTTTTCAAAGTTTTCAACCAAGAGATTAATATTCTTTCTCTCTATAATGCACACCATCTGCTTTACTAAATTAACAATTTATATGCATATATATGCATCTCAACCAGTCAGAGCTGTGGTTCCCAGCCTGATTATACATTAGAAGCTTTGGAAAACTCACTCCCAGAGCTACCCCTAGAGATTCTGGGCTTAAATGGTCTGGTGATGCAGCAGAGAGAGAGAAAGTCTTTCTTGGAGTTCTAAGTTGGAATTCCGAATTTATTTCCTCTGGAAACTATGTTGCAATGGTGATCTGGGTTTATGGATTTTTTTTTTTTTAAAGATTTATTTATTTATTTTAGAGAGAGACAGAGAGAGTGAGCCCACATGAGCAAGGGGAGGGGCAGAGGGAGAGAGAGAATCCACAAGCAGACTCTCCCTGAGCATGAAGCCTGCCCAGGGGCTGGATCCCAGGACCCTGGGATCATGACCTGAGTGGAAATCAAGAGTCACCCACTCAACTGACTGAGCCACCCAGGCACCCCTGGGTTTATGGATTTTTTTTAAGTACAATAGGGAAAGCTATATAATCTGTTAGATAAACATTCAGGGGCTGGTCTAAAACACCAAACCATTCTTCATAGTTCTTTCTTTAAAACAAACAATGAGCTTTTGCTTCCAAACAATGAAATTTATAACCAACCTATTGAAAAATTAGAAACTGCTTGAGTCTTCAGAGTCACAATACTATACTTTTCTGTGTGTCAAAAGCGACTCAGGGTTTTGTCTGGGGAAAAAAAAAAGAATCAATGAATCTAGTGAGTACCTACCAGGAGGAAGACACAAAGAGACTCTCAAACAAGGCTCGAAATAAAGTACAAAACCAAAATTTGTGCAATTTTGAATTTTAGGAAACTCCATAGGAAATGTCCTGGTTCATGACTTTTTGTGTTTTCTGAATAGTAAACTGGGTTAGAAATAGGCATATCAGTCAGAAAAGAATACAGCAGAGAAATAATAGTGGAAATACACTGGAGGGCAAGAAACGAGATGATAAAAGCTTGTTAAAAAGGCACATCATAGAAAAGAATAGTGGACACTTTGTAGTCAATAGTCAAAGGTGATCAATTTGAATGGCAGCAAAGATGAGAAAGATGAGGGGTGCCAGGTGCTTCCCAAACTGTTTTTAAGCTTGACACACCAGGACAAGGTGGGACCCAGAGCAGTATAGAGATGGAACCATGGCTGCTTCCCACCCATATGCACACCATCTTCACCCTATTCCCATTCCTACGAAGCATGACATGACCATGCACACACAACACAGTTCCCTGGGCTGTTGCATGGCTCAAGAGTAGGACTTGCCCTGTGTTGTTTCAGCACAGATGACGGCATTTGGGTGGAAGAAAAAGAGACAGGTTTGGGGCGCCTGGGTGGCCCAGGCAGTGAAGCATCTGCCTTCCACTTGGGTCATGATCCTGGGGTCCTTGGATTGAGCACTGCATCAGGCTCCCTGCTCAGCAGGGGTCTGCTTCTCCCTCTCCCTCTGTGCTCTGTCTCTCAAGTAAGTAAATAAAATCTTAAAAAAAAGAAAAAAGAAAAAAGAAAAAGATAAGTTTGTGTTCATTATACAGAAAAACTTTCTAAAAGGCTGTCAACACAATACAAAACCAAACCAGAACACATGCACTGAACCTCATGGGCCTGAAGTTTTAGCATGAACCGAATCTCAAGAATCTCAAGAAAGGGGCGTGCCTGGGTGGCTCGGTCGTTAAGCATCTGCCTTGGGTTCAGGTCATGATCCCAGGACTCTGGGATCGAGCCCCGCATCGGGCTCCATGCTCAGCGGGAAGCCTCCCTCTCCCTCTGCCCCTGCTTGTGTTCCCTCTCTCACTGTCTCTCTGTCAAATAAATAAACAAAAATAAAATCTTAAAAAAAAAAAATCTCAAGAAATAGAATAATTGGGCTGAGTGTGGAGTGTGTCCTAATGGTCTCGAATGGTCCTTCCAAATGTAAATTTTGATGATTCTATAGTCCAACCTCCTCTTTTCTTCACAGACATCTAATCACTTCTAATTTCATTCCGCACCCATTGGTTAAAACAAAAAGTGACAAGAGCACACTTACCGTGATGAGCACTGAGCAATGTATAGAATTGTTGAATTCTATATTGTACACCTGAAACTAATATTAACACTATATGTTAATTACACTGGAATTAAAATAAAAAAATATAGATATTAGAAAAAAGTGACAAAGAGGAATTGAGAAACTCTTCACAATGAGTGAAAATGTGAAACACAGGGGTAGCAACTAGCTTTAGTGTAGAGGACTGATTTATAGGTCTTAGATCTTTGGTTACTTTTGGCAAGAAGTGAATCCTGAAAGCTCATACCAAGAACTGCAAGAACTTTAAATGGACAAATAATAACCCCACAGGAAAGCCAGTGTCTTTGTTCTGTCATTTATGCCCAGATTTGTGACCTCAGAAACTGAAAGGACACCTTGATCTTTCTGTTTAACTCGAGACAGCAATGAAGAAATGAATGAGTTTATTCTTCATTTAGGTGCAAAAGGCAGTAGTCCTAAAACAAAGTAAAACAAGATACGGAACAGTTTCCACTGTGATAGAGCCATCAGCTGATAGAATAGACTCACAGAACTGGGAGCCTGACAGGACCGTACAGGCAAAATGTCTTAAATGCACGTCCTACGCTTAGTGCATTAGCACAAGCAGGCCAGCTTTGTGGCTGGAACATTCAAGATGGAAATTGCAGCGAAGGCTCCGATGGAGCTTGTGCTCTGCATATGCTGATGTCTTGAATTTAGGCCTCTGCCAAACACCTCTTTACAATGACTCTGCATATCATGGGGCCAAAAAGAACTGCAGGATTTTAGGGCAAGGCCGATTTCAAGCCCAGAACTGCAGTCATCCCTCTGTGACAGGCTGAACAGGGTCACGCAAATGAGCGGAGCATGAAAACCTTTAGAGTTCAGGCCGTGTCCTTTCGGAGCTCACAAAAGGCTTTTTCTTTTTTAAGATTTTATTTATTTATTTGACGCAGAGAGAGAGAACACAAGCAGTGGGAGCGGGAGAGAGAGAAGCAGGCTCCCCGCTGAGCAGGAAGCCCAATTCGGGGCTGGATCCCAGGACCCTGGGATCATGATCTGAGCCGAAGGCAGATGCTTAGCAACTGAGCCACCCAGGCGCCGCACAAAAGTCTTTTTCTGCTCTGCTTTTACACTCTAGAAGCCAAGCTATTTGCCAGGGGTAAGGCTAGGGAGGTGTAGGGGTGACGGTGGGGGTGGGATGCAGCAGATTGTCCACATCCTGCTGCCAGTCTGTCCAACAGGATAGCAGCTTTCCACGGTCCCAGCCCTGAGACAGGGGGGCTGGGGGCGAGGGGCGCGCAGGCCACATTCCCCCCGACCGCAGGCGCCGGGCCAGCTGGTTGGAGAGAACTCGGGCAGCGAGCCTAAGAGCTCCGCGCCAGCCCTCTCGGCCGGGGAGGGAGCGTCCTGGCTTCGGGCCCGTGCGCGCCCCCTAGCGCCGGTCCGCGGACGGGGCGGGACGGGACGGGACGGGGCGGGGCGGGGCGGGGAGCGCGGGGGGCCGTGGCGCCGAGTGGAAGCGAGAGCGCGAGCGCGGCTGCAGCCGGCGGCATGGCGAGCACGGCCTCGGAGATCATCGCCTTCATGGTTTCCATCTCGGGCTGGGTGCTGGTGTCCTCCACGCTGCCCACCGACTACTGGAAGGTGTCCACCATCGACGGCACGGTCATCACCACCGCCACCTATTGGGCCAACCTGTGGAAGACGTGCGTTACCGACTCCACGGGCGTCTCCAACTGCAAGGACTTCCCCTCCATGCTGGCGCTGGACGGTCTGCATCCCCTCGGCCCCTGCCCCCGGCCCTCGCTCCTGCCCGGCCAGGCGGGGTGCCCTCTTGGTCCCGTGATCCCCCCCCCGGCGGGACTCCCGGGCCGGACCCCTCCGAGCCTGAGGGAGCCACGGAGAGCCCCCATGCCCGTCGTCGCCGTGCCCGGACGCGTGTCCCTCGGGGGCGCCTGCCTGAGCCCGGCACCCCGGGGCGGGAGAGGGGGACACACCTGGGTGGGGTGGGCGACTCAGGCGTCGGTGAGGGGGGCGGAGGGAAGCACCTTTGCAGTCCTGAGGGTCGAGGACATGGTTGCGGGATCCCCATCTCTCGGGGACTGTTAGGCCATGGAGTCACGCTTATCTCCTTCACCCAGCACTCCCCCAACGAGCTGGATCCTGATTAAAGTGGTATCATCGGCTTGTCAAAGCCGAATTTGCTTGTCCTCAACTCCCTTTAAGCATTTTGTTAGTTTTAAAAATAGGCAAGGGAAAAAGTAACATATTGCAGGGAGTGTCATCCCATTCCCACCTCCCCCCACCCCCCACTCCAGGGAAAAAAACAACAACAACCCCACGCTTCAACGAATGTGTCCTCCTGGGCTTTAATGCTTCCTCCAAGTTTTATGCAAATAAATAGTCCTTGCCTATGCTGCAGTGGGTAGAGAATCCAGCTAGCAAGAATCTTGTGCCAGAGACTGCCAAGGTCTGTGTCCGTGCCCTCATCTGCTCTCCGGTCTCCTGTTGTTCTTTTGTAGATTGCTTTCTGCTTTGTTCTTTTTAGTTGGGTTCTGTATTGAATTGCATTAGAGCGACAGGTGGATGGTCACATAGAAAACTGGCTCTGTGTTAGTTTCAAGAGAACAGTAGATGTCAACCCGGTTACAATGACTGCTTAAATTCTAGGCTCATTTCTTCCAGGATTTTACAGCACATGACTAAATAGATGCCGCGGTAATGTTAAGGATACTCATTTGCATTATCTCTATAGTTTTGAGGTGTTTTCTTTCCTTTTTAAAAAAAAATTTTATTATTCCACTGCCCGTTTTTATTTGCATAGCTGATTCAATAAAAGACCAGAATTAATTCCCTTAAGATGGTGCTTGCCATGAAAAGCAAACTGTTGCTCAATGTGGTATTTGATAGAACTTCCATATAAACAGGAATATGTGCCTGGTTTTAGATGGGTGACACCCAGGTCTTCGTCCTGTTGTGTAAAAGAAGTAGCTGGGACACTGTTGATCCCTTAGAATTACTGTTGAATTTCCTGTGCTCTGTAGTGCACACATTCAGGTAGATGCTCTGAACAGGCAGGCTCTTGTTTGTGTGGTTTACATTCAGGAATTTGGATTGATGATTACTGCCCTAAGTGCATTCTTCTGCTGTTTATTGTTACCTGAGATAGTATGCCAGATGCGTCTGCTTCCTTCTGTAAGACAGCTGGGGGACGAGAGAGAGGAGTGAGAAATAAATGCTCCGTGAAGAGTGATGGGGTGCAGAATGGCGAAGTTGTCACATTATGTATCTGAGGTGAGAGTGAAGTTGGCAGGGAGACTTGGGGGCAGGTCAGGTAGTGAGGAGGGAGGGAGGCATAGCCCTCAATTATGAGGCTTTGGAGAGAGTTGAGGATGGAGAAAAGAAAGGAGTGACATTTATGTACAACCCAACTTGCAAAACGACCTTTCATGTGTGCTCATATGTCTAGAAAATGACTTTAGGGGCGCCTGGGTGGCTCAGTCGTTCAGCGTCTGCCTTCAGCTCAGGTCGTGGTCCCAGGGTCCTGGGATCGAGCCCCGCATCGGGCTCCCTGCTCGGCGGGAAGCCTGCTTCTCCCTCTCCCCCTCCCTCTGCTTGTGTTCCCTCTCTCGCTATGTCTCTCTCTGTCAAATAAATAAAATCTTTAAAAAAAAAAAAAAAGAAAAAGAAAATGACCCTAAAAAACACAAATGACTTCATATTCCCTATTGTTCTACAATGTTCTAAAATTAAAAACATATCTTTCCAAGCCAAGACATACAGAAATAACTCTTTTTAACGACTGCATAGTATTCATAAGTCTGGACAAACTGGTTTGTTGAAAACCACTTTCTCATTGTTGGACAATGGACCCTTTCCAGCATTTCGTTGTTGTTAGTGCTGTACGGAAAATTCTCATATTCATCTTTTTGTGCACATGTGTATTTCTGTGAAGTAGATACTGAGAAATGGTACTGTCAGGGCAGTAGATGATACATTTTAATTTTCAGTTTATACTGCCAAATTACAGTCCACCAACAGCATATGAGAATGTCCGTTTGTCTGCATTCTCACCACGAAGTTTTTCATCCAGCATCATGGGTGACATAGTATCATGTTATCATTTTCATTGGTATTTCCCTAGTTTTTACCAGTGATTTTTACCATCTTATCATGTATTTATTGACCACTTTTTTTCTCTTTCAGACATTGCCTCTCTATATCTTATGCCCACAGTCTGTTGTTTCCTCTTAATATAAATGATTTTTAAGATTTTAAGTAATCTGTACACCCAGTGTGGGATTCAAACATACAACCCCAAGGTCAAGAGTCGCAGGCTCCACCGACTGAGCCAGCCAGGCACCCCTAAGTGATCATTTTTTACGTTTATTTCTCTATCCATGCAATCTCTACACCCAGCGTGGGGATCAAACTCACAACTCCCGAGATCAAGAGTCTTCTGACTCTGAGCCAGCCTAGTGCCCATAAATGATTTGTCTTTTTTTTTTAATTCTGGATGTCCATCCTTGATTTGTTACATATGTTGCAATCTCAGCCCGTTTCTTATGTTTAAATTTAGGATGCCTTTTCTTATACAAAACTTTGAAATGTGTACTGTGATCAGATTTATCAGTTTCTTCCTGCTGCGTCTGCCTTCTGTGGCTTAAGAAGGCATTGCCTATCCCAAAGTGATAAGCCTTACTTTCCTGTGTCTCTCAGAATAACATTCTGGGGGGCTTAATCACACAGCTTTGTTTTCACGTGGAGAGGAGTTGATGCCCCCTCCTGTAAGCTGACCTTCCCAGAGCAGGCCCCTCTGTCAGCTCGCTGCTGTGTTCCCCAGGGCAGGGAACTCCGTGGGATGCTGGTTCTGCAGTCAATGCAGCCAGCATCACGTTGCACATTGGACTTCCTGACACCTCGCTGAAGTGGCAGAGAAGGCTGCATTGCTGTAGGCCCGGGTGACCACAGGCCTGAGCAAGCCAGTCCTCCCCTTAAGCCAGGCAGAAGCTCTAGACTGAAAAGAGAATGCAAGAAGGGAGTGAGAAGGCTCACAGCTCTCTCTAGTCTTAGGTGGAAGGAGCTTCTTGGATGCAGATGATGGAGACATTTTCCCGAATTTTCTACATGAGGTCAAAGCTCTGATTCCTTATCCTCAGGGTGTTATCATCGTAACCCCCACTTCCCTATAAGGAAAATGAGGCCGAGGAAAGCTAAATGTGTAGATTTAAGTTTATGTTAAGACGCCAACTCCAAGTTCTGCTTAGAATCCATCTTAGTATGATAGAAGGGAAGCTTTGGTGAGTTTCTTATCACTCACCAGACAATGTTTCTATGGTTCGTCCTTTGAAGGAGGTGCTTTCTCCCTGTTTTACAGATGAGAACACTGAGGCTCAAGAGAGAGAAGGTCATGTAATCAGGACACACAGAAGGTAAATAAGTAGAAGATCCAGAGCTGAGCCTCAGAGTTCATGCCTTCCTCCTGTTCCACTCCTCTTTCAGAGGATTTGCAAAAAGTACACAAAGCTACCTGCATAAGAAAAGCACATTGTTTTTTCTCCCCTTTATCCAGCAACTCGCTCTGGCTGCTACTAGGGAGTTGTCTCCACCAAGTGGGTGTTTTCATTTTTGCTCCTTTGAAATGTAAAATAAGGCACACACCATTTGGAAATCACTTAACTTTTAAGGGACACCTTGAAGGTTTCCTCCAACGGAATTCATTAATTTAAAGTCCCTGTATTTTACTAATTGAAAATTTGAACAAGCTAGTGAGTTCTGTTTATCTCCAGCTCCTATTCCTTTCAAAGCACTGCGTGAACTTCATCTGAGAATCATTTTCAGCCAGGTTGTTTTTAGTACATGCCATCTATTTTTGTTAGTGGGAATGTTTGCCGTTTCTTCCAAGAGAGTTAACTATAAATTATATGGCAGAGAACTTCTAAGTAAATATGTTCATGCCTCAGCACTTTAATGTGTTAATTAGCTATTAAAGGTGTCAGTAAATTAGACCTGTCAAAAATAATGGCCTCCTTGACTAGGTTTTTACTGCCACTTCACTCGATGGTGTTACTTACAAGTTTTGCCCTCTGGGACTGTTAAAAAGCAAGGTTGTAGAGGTCTGCCTTGCAAAAGATAAACTCTTGAGTTTGTTGGAAGTCACCTAAGGCCTGCGTCTGTGGGTGTTTTAAGGACTGGTAGCCCCGAATTTACACAACCCGGGCTTCCCAACACCCGGATTCCGTCTACAGCCGACAGCCAGGGGGTGCTTTATCCTGCGGAGAACCCCAATCCCTGCTCTTTGCTCCCTGTTTCAGAAAATGTAGCCAGTGATTGTGCTGGTCAGGTGCCTTTGTGCATGCAGTGAGTTAGCGGGTTACCCCTGCTGTTGGAGGCTGGAGGGTTCTGGTTGGTACTGAGGAAGGACCTGAGCACTTCAGACACAGTATTTCTCCTCTCCTGCTTGTTCCAGGAGACCAGTCCTGCTGCAGGCCTGAGGGCTGAGACAGGAGAACAGAGTGAGAACCTCAGAAAGAAGTATTATGAGTAAACGGTTGAATAAAGTTTAAAGACTACTGGTATTTTCATATTAAGTCATATTAAGGATTGAATGCCCCAGCCTGAGATTCTTACCACCATTTACATCTGGGAAAACACATTCCGTGTTCTAAATGATCAGATTGTAGGATTTAGCCTTTTGCCAGGCTCCTGCTTTTTCTGTTCATCGAGCCTGTGTGATTACTAAAGTAAATGCTGAAGTTTTCTAGGATAATTTTTTTATGCATATATTATAGAGGCTACCTCTCACACACGCTGTTTTGTCTGCTTGGTGACTGCAGTGAGTCAGCTAACATACCTCAAAACCAGAGATTACAATAAATCTCTGAAAAAAATGAAACCGCACAGTCCCAGGAGCTCTGGTGGTAAATGATGAGCCAGTTGTGGTTATCTTGATAGATGTTCTTTAATCTTACTGAGGGACTAACGTTAACAGCCTTCCTGTCTGTCTGTGCTTCTGCCTGCCCCCTGGGGTCTGGCTGGGGGACTGAGGGTTGAAATTTTGTAAAAACCTGGGTCAGGGGCGCCTGGGTGGCTCAGTCGTTAAGCATCTGCCTTCAGCTCAGATCATGATCCTGGGGTCCTGGGATCGAGCCCCGCTTCGGGCTCCCTGCTCAGCGGGAAGCCTGCTTCTCCCTCTCCCACTCCCCCTGCTTGTGTTCCCTCTCTCGCTGTGTCTCTCTCTGTCAAATAAATAAATAAAATCTTTAAAAATAAATAAATAAATACAAATAAAAAACCTGGGTCAGTCTTTGGCAGCAGAGACCCAGATAGCCCTGCAGCATGATTATTGCTACCAAAATAGGCCTCCTTTATCCTGTTGTACTAATAATAAATTTGTTTTGCTGTTTTTAATAGCCTTACAACCAGTAGAACTGCTTTGTCTCTGGAAGTAGTTCACATTATAAAATAGATCATTGTCATTGCTGTCTACATTTGTGGAGGCCTAGATTTGTTGCAATTAAACAGAGCATCTTCTGTGTACTCTTCAGACTGGATCCTAGCAATAGGATTGAAACTTAAAATTTCATTTCAAAGGAACATGGGCTGGAGGCGACCTGTCAGCATCATTTCTTGAATTTATAATTACTGTAGTCTTAGAATTATTATTTATTGTAGACTTTGCCAGAACACTAACAGTAAATGACTTGCTGTATTTATGAGTTTTTTCAAATAAGAAAATTTAGTTCCATACGTAAGCCTGATGTACACACATGTTCATTTACTCAACAAATGTTTACTTAAGCCTGGTATATGTCATCACTATTTCAGATTGAAATATGGCACTGTTTCAGGCTGAAATGAAAATGACCTTATGTGCTTAAAATTTACGGGTTTAAATTCTATTGCTTTAGAATTTGTTAGAGTCTGGACAAAAGCCAAGTCGAAGTTTACCCCCACCTTGGCTCTGCAAATAAGAATAGGTGGTTAGGAAAATGGGTGGGGTCAGAAGATGATAAGACAACCCAATCAAACGAGGTTTTCGGGGGCTTGGAAAGCATCCATTTAAATGTACACGGTTAATTTCATAACGATGGAATATTCCTTTAGAAAACAACCCTGCTTGGGGCGCCTGGGTGGCTCAGTCATTAAGCGTCTGCCTTCGGCTCAGGTCACGGTCCCAGGGTCCTGGGATCGAGCCCCGCATCGGGCTCCCTGCTTGGCGGGAAGCCTGCTTCTCCCTCTCCCACTCCCCCTGCTTGTGTTCCTGCTCTCACTGTCTCCCTCTGTCAAATATATAAATAAAATCTTAAAAAAAAAAAAAGAAAAGAAAACAACCCTGCTTTTCTAAACCCAGTTTTCCTCTGTGTGCCCTGAAAATAATAAAATGTCATTAAAATACTTCCTGATTTAGACTCATCATGGTTTATCATGGGATTCCAATCGGTCTCATTTATAAGCTTTCACTAATATCGGAATGCCGTGCTGTCCAATTATAAATTTTATAATGTCAAAACCATTAAAACATCCATTTAGAAGGTCCAGTGTGCAAAGGAGTAGGAGGGTTGAGATAGTGGCAGACGATGTTTCTTATGGAGAAGGATTTTGTAGTCAGAACTGGGTGGAATCCGTTTCAGTCTCTTACTGACTCATCTCTGGTGCATCCTAGAACCTCTGCTGCTTCCATGTCCTTACCCGTGAATGTGGGAATACCAGTGCTCGAGGGATCTGTCCTGAGGATTATGCACACGCCGATCTTAGAAGTGTGTGACATAGAACAGACAGGCAGTCCACATAGATGAATTTGCTTTCCTTGCTTGCTTGTCTTATGATGATGGTTATTTTTTCAGAAAACAGGAGCAATCAATTCAGAAGGACAGTAGAAAATGGGGATTTCTCCCTGGATAGCCACATGTTTTCTGTTAATGTAGATGACCTATTCTAATTGCAGGTTATATCCAGGCATGTAGAGGACTTATGATTGCTGCTGTCAGTCTGGGCTTTTTTGGTTCCATATTTGCCCTGTTTGGAATGAAGTGTACCAAAGTCGGAGGCTCAGATAAAGCCAAAGCTAAAATTGCTTGTTTGGCTGGGATTGTATTCATACTGTCAGGTAAATAGTAACTTTCTCCCAAACAAGGTACTTCACGATGTTAATGAAAGGACACTAACCACGATACTTTCCTTCTGATACTTTGTAGGGTTGTGCTCAATGACCGGTTGTTCCCTGTATGCAAACAAAATCACAACGGAATTCTTTGATCCTCTCTATGTTGAACAGAAGTAAGTACTCTTCTCAATCTGTCTGTTTCTAGCTTACAGGAAATGTATGCAGATTAATCTTCCAAAATAAGATACATAAATTCCTTACACGGTGCACGAAAGTGAGACACTTTGATCAATAGTATTTGATGACATCATTTCAAGAGTAAACATATTCTGTGCTGCGTTGGCAAAGGATGCATTTAGTTACTACATTGGTGTCACGTAGCGTCTTGTCTCTAAAAAGCTCAAGGCACAGGATTTAAAATTCTAAACTTTGTCCACTGGACATCATTCAGTTCGGATCAAGTAGAGGAAAAGTGGAAGAGAGGTGTGAGCGGGGTAGGAAAGAATGATGATGTGTGATAACAGGAAATGAAGGGCTGGCCTTGACTGATGTCCACCCAGATTGATATTTGTCAGCTGCTGGTATGTGGGCCAGAGTCCATCATGGTTTCAAACACTGACATGGGAACTGCGACCTTGCTCCCGAAGATTAGAGATCTGTTAACGACATCTTAATGAAGTATCATTTTTTTCATTTTTAGTTAGCCTTTGAAATTAGCTCCTTGACAAGCTCCACCTGATAAACCTTTATTTAAAAAAAAACAACCAGGGGCGCCTGGGTGGCTCAGTCAGTTAAGCGGCTGCCTTCGGCTTGGGTCATGATCCCAGGGTCCTGAGATCGAGCCCCACGTCGGGCTCCCTGCTTGTTGGAGAGCCTGCTTCTTCCTCTCCCTCTCCCTACTGTTCTGCCTACTTGTGCTCTGTCTCTCTCTATCAAATAAATAAAAAATCCTTAAAAAAACAAAAAACAAAAAAACAACTGTACATGATGCAGGGTTTTTAAAAAATGCTCTGTAACGGCACAGACACCCCCCAGATGTGACCAGTCCGGGTTGCAGGAGAACGGCTCGGCATTTACAGGTCAGTTTGTTGGAGGTGTTTGTTTCCTTAACTATGGGCCATTGGTTTTTACACTTTCCCTAGGCTTATTTCTTTGCCTTGGGAAAACCCCAGGGATACCAAATTAGAAATAATAATGTATGCAGTATTTTGTCTTCCACGACAATATACCCACGTACTTCCGTAGAAAGCCACATCTGCATGCATGTGGATAGTTAGCAGCTGGGCTGGTGATGCTCTTTCAGTCTTCAGGTCAAGCGTTACAGAATTTTTAAAAAAAAATTACTAAAATTGCTGGTTAGGTGTGCATTCCTTTCTTTTCTGGTGGATTTAAGAATCTTCAGGGAATTGATTTTTTAGTTCTGTCTTTAGTGTCTTTTATTGATAAATATTGGATGCTTATATAATGAAATATAATGAAAATAGTAGCTAATACATGTCGAGCCCCTACCACGTACCAAGCAGAGCATGGCAAATATTCTTCTTCTATTTTATTTTATTCTTTTTTTTTTTTTTTAAAGATTTTATTTATTTATTTGAGAGAGAGACTGAGAGAGAGAGAGCATGAGAGGGGGGAGGGTCAGGAGGGTCAGAGGGAGAAGCAGACTCCCTGCCGAGCAGGGAGCCCGGTGCGGGACTCGATCCAGGGACTCCAGGATCATGACCTGAGCCGAAGGCAGTCGCTTAACCAACGGAGCCACCCAGGCGCCCATATTTTTTTTATTCTTGCAACAGCCTGATAAGGTAGGTTCTCTTGGTACGACCTTTTTGAAAATGAATGTGTGCAGTTAATGTGTGCAAGGGAACCTGGACTAAACCAATATCGTCTGATTGGACTGGGAGCCAAACCAGGCATGCTTGCTCTATGACGCATGATTTACAATGCTAGATTTCATAATTTTTGTGATGGTATGCTATATATATTTTTCATTGCGGGAGTTTCTTTTGTATGTTTTTAAAAACTATTTTAAATTTTATTAAATGGGAAACAAAAATAACTGTTTTAGACCCCAGTATAATTTTTACTCCCCTGCCTATGTTGGAAAAATGTGTTCTGATTTATAAATTTTCTCTTAACTAATGTTTGATGATGAGATTTGCACACGTGTACATGACACTGGACATTGAGATGAAGACTGAGACCGTGCTCCTGAAGATAGGAAGCATGTTAATGATATTTAAATGAAATATAATTTTCCTTAAATGACATATTTTTATTTCGGATCCTAAATATACAACAAAACTGTATTTCTCATGGTTTATTTTATTCAAGACATTGCTCACTTTTATGGATTATCTGTTATACATTGCTGTCTTTATTTTCCTGACAATTATTAAGGATATCTTTGTCAGAATCTTAAAATAAAATCATTTTCATTTTTCCTCAAAAGGTCAAGGCTAACTCATATATGCCCCATAACTTAAGCCTGTCCTTTGTGTGATTTTTTTTTTTTCCACTGCTTACTATATGCTCAGTCATCTAATTCAGTTTGGTGCATTGGAATTTCTGATTTTCTTTTAGATTTTGGTTAAACTTAGTTCAGTGATTATGGACTCTGAGAGGTTTTCCTCATTTCCATATTGTTGGTGCAACATTGAACTATCCCATTCCCCCTAATGACCTGTCGGCATTCCTCTCTCTCCCTATTCATGCTCTGTCTACAAGCTCATCTGTAAAATCAAGATAATAATGGCACTCTGCTCGTAGAGTTAATATGGGAATTTGGAGAGTGTGTATGTGTGTGTGTATATATAGAACTGATTAGAGGGAGCCTGGGTGGCTCAGTCGGTTAAGCGACTGCCTTCGGCTCAGGTCATGATCCTGGAGTCCCGGGATCGAGTCCTGCATCGGGCTCCCTGCTCGGCGGGGAGTCTGCTTCTCCCTCTGACCCTAACCCCTCTCATGTGCTCTCTCTCATTCTCTCTCTCTCAAATAAATAAATAAAATCTTTAAAAACGAAAATAACACAAAAAAACTGATTAGAAAAGAGGAAACACTGTGTTCCCTATTACTGTATTGTGTTAGCTATTATTAAGATTCCTTTTTAAATTGTGTGTAGTAGTTAAGACGTGGCTTATCTTTATAGATGTTTTTATTAACTCTTTTCTGAAGTGACTTAAAAGTGTAACACCTGCAATTTGGCAATTTACCTTATGTAATTAAAAACCCAAGAGCGAGGCGCTTTTTGAAAAACAACAGGGCTTATAAATCGGTGGTATTTACAAATAACAGGCCCTTCACACAACATACTGAGAGGAAATACAAACTTCATTAATTAAACTGCTGCATATTGAGAACACCTTGCAATAAGAGCTCACTCACATCTGCATCCCCGGCAGTGCCTTACACAAAGGCATACAGTCCATTTGGGTGAAGGAATTATCAAGGCCTGAGAGTTGTAAATGTGATCAGCTTCTAATTACCCATCATGGTAGAAAAGAGGCATGAAAGGGGCAGGTGACCTCTTCAGGAATTCACAGGCTTCCTTGAACAAACGCACTTCTCTAAAAGCCAGCAAATCAACTCACTTGGATTCATCTTTTATCAACAGCTTTAGTAGCGGACAGAGAGCTGAAAATTAGAAAGATTAAGAAGCTAGAAATTGGGGGCGCCTGGGTGGCTCAGTCAGTGCAGTGCCTGCCTTCAGCTCAGGTCGCGACCCCGGGTTCCTGGGATCAAGCCGCTCGTCGGGCTCCCTGCTCAGCAGAGAGCCTGCTTCTCCCCCTCCCTCTGCCTGCCACTCCCCCTGCACGTGCTCTCTCTCTGTCAAATAAATAAATAAATAAATAAAAATCTTTACTAAAAAAAAAAAAGAGCTAGAAACTGGCTATCCGCACAAAATGAACGAATTCATAGGTCTTAAAGTAGACTCTTTAAAGCAAGATTTTGATTTGGCCTCAGCAGGCGTTTGCTAGAATTTAGTCTCCGGTGCCGGTCACTTGGTTTGTGCATGAACTTAGGGATGTGTTGGAGAATCAAGGCTAAACGCAGGGCAGCCCTTGGTGGGCTGGGATTTGGAGGGTACAGTGCAGGAAGGTTCTAACTTTCTTTGGTGAGAGTAAGCTCCTTGAGGTCAGAAAACATGTATTCCCTCACTGTCTAGCCCTGTGCCTGGTAAGTGAAATTCGTAATCTGTAGAGCTGGTCCTTGCAGGATTAGCGGGAAAGCTTTCTGTTGTCTCAGCCCACGGTGGAGAGGAGAGAGGAGAAAAAGAAGGCACACTCACTTGTCTCTTCCCATCTTTATCCCATTCCCCTCTTCCTAAAAGCAGCTACCACCAAGTGACCTCTCTCCCTGCAGCCCTAGAAGGCATGACTGAGGCACAGGTAGGTGCGTGTGCGTTTGGCCTTTTGGAAGGCAGTGAAGACAGCTGCTTGCATGGGCTCTAGCTGACATCTCGGGTGAGCAAATCGTAGCTGCCCCATACCCGAGTCCTAGAATGCACTGGAAAACAGTCTGGGCTCAGAACCTGGTTTTGTTGTTGTTGTTGCTGTTTTGTTTTTCTTAAGATTCTGTGCTATATTAATTGAATCTTCTCTGTGGATTTCGGGGACATTCCTATGTAGGGCCCCACCTTGGTGGCCTAAGTTAGACACACGACTAAGCTCATCCACAAAGTTCCTACTCCATTCCTACTATGTGCAGAGAACTCAGTAGGCACTTTGCTGATGAGAGAAAACAAGGGGCTTCTAGTGTAGCTGGAGTAAAGATCGAGGCATAGCCATGTCAATAGCATCCCACTGTCTGCTCAGTGGCTCCGTATTCTGAAACCCCTCTTCTCCCTCCACCGATTTGGGAAGTTCTTTCTCCCAGGCTGCTGTCACTTAACACAGCTGCAGTTCTTTCAAGAGTTACATCTGCCTGTGGTCATGTTCTGCCATTTCCCCATTTTTTTTCGCTTTTGTTTTGCTTCTCTGCTTTCATGCAAGTTGTGATTATGTTTCATGACTGCAGGATGGGCTCCTGCAAAGCTTTGGAAACGATTTCCCAACTCTTCCCTTTGGGCTGTTCAAACCAACTTCATCCTTTTTATTAAAATAAAACCCCCCAAATCAAAAAAAAAAGTCTACCTTCCTGCAACCTTATGGTAACTGGTACCCCCTAGCATAATTCA